AAAAGAAAGGCCAGCATCCAAAGACCCCCATGTACACTTAGAAAAGCACTTATCAATGTACCAGGCAATGCAAGGTGTCCCAATATTCCTATGCCAGTTATTTGTGCCCCGATGGAGCACAACCTTTATAAGATTCCAGGTTATATCCCTGGTACTGCCAAATAAAAGCATCAGGTAGATGATGGGAAGGACCCCCATGTGAGAAAGCCACCTCCAGTCAGAGCTGACAATAGTAGGATACACAGGCATATAGTCTGAGCCAGGGTGGATTTGATTTGATTTAAATTTTTAAAAAAAACAGTTTTTAAATGATTTAATTTTAAAAAATCTTTAAATCAATTTGATTTTTAAAAATCATTGATTTTTATCCACCCTAGTCTGAGCTAATATAAGGCAGCTCCCCATGTTCTTAGGTTGCTCTGAGGACATCTCCCAAAATTAAGAGAGCCTTTTTAGTAGGTGTCTCTGGTTGTCCAAAGATGTTACTGGAATGCAACTCCAATCGCCCCTCACTAGGGTAATTGCAAAGGCTGATAGAAATTGTATCGAACATTTGGAGCATCACATGTTGCCCATTACTGTTTGAAGAGATGAATGCAAGAGCAATTGTTACTAAGAAACATATCAAGTTTACATTAATTTGCAAGGAACTACAGTTCTCAAAATACAATCCTGTATATGCATCTTATTAACAAAAAGACAGACAGACAGAGAGAGAGCAGGTTATGTTTAGCTAACAATGACATGTAGCACTCCGACACAACAGACCTTTCTTTATTTATGAAACGGCAATCAAAAATGAAAACGCTACACAGCCTGATTTGGAGTGCTAATATCTTCAAATGATTTCCTCAGGAATTAAATCACCTAAAGATTTGGAACACTTTTTCTGCACCCTTCATCAAATTAAGTCCAAATTAATTTTTAGCCCCACTGCTTTCAAAGAGATTTAGTTTCCCCTGTATTTAGCTGGATTAAGGCTCTTAGTGACCAGGTTGCCTAGATATATTTATTTTTGGAAAAATTACAAGGAGTGTTCATACTTAACAGAGGAAAGCACAATCCTGTTCCTGTATTGTGGCCACTTTCTTTATGAAATTTAGGATGTAAGCAGGGCATTGGTTATATTTTTACAACACTTTGCAGTTTTTACTGGGAAGTACAGTGGGGTCTTGACTTGAGAACTTAATCCGCATTGGAAGGCAGTTCTCAAGTCAAAAGGTTCTCAGGTCAAATCTGCCTTTCCCATAGGAATGCATTGAAAACCATTTGATCCGTATCTGCTCTTTTCCGTCCATAGAAATTAATGGGAAGCTGCTATTCCTCCTTTAACCACTAGACGGGGATATTTTGTTTCTTTTTTTCTTAGGTCAAGAAAGGTTCAGGGAAGGCAGGGAAAATACAGTCCAGGCAGTACAGTGGACCCTTGACCTACAGAATTAATCCGTATTGGAACAGTGGCTGCAGGTCAAAAAGTCTGTAGGTCAAGTCTCCATTGAGCTACAGTGCATCGAAAACCGATTAATCCCGTAACAGGCCGTTTTTGTTCCATTTTGGTTTTTTTCTGGTCTGTAACTCAAATCTCAGTCTGCAAGTCAAACCTAAATTTTGCGGCCAGAGAAGTCTGTAACTCAAAAAGTCTGTAAGTCAAGCCGTCTGTAAGTCAAGGGTCCACTGTAACTCCCATTGCACAGTGACTAGGAAATGGGTGGAAAAAACCTTGGACTCTCTCTAAAATAATCTCAACCTTTGGAAGTAATATGTTGAATTACTTTTTTGAATCAGACTGGCCAACATTACTTTGAGCAGCAACAATGAAACATTCCATTTTCTTGGCATTCTGAACATGGGGGGTGGGGGATCACTTTTTTAAAAACTGAAGGGTTGGCAAACTGGATAATTTATTGAGATTAGGCAGTCGAATTAACTCTCCAAGTACCCAATGAGGCCAGGACCCAACCAGTACTACTACTTAAAAATGGTTCTTTCTGTGTGCTTAATTAAATGCAACTATGGGGCATTAAAATTAAAATGCATGTGGTTTCTCCACAAGGCCAGTGCTCCAAGGGTACCTGCTAGAAGCACAAGTACACTGTTAACAAGATATAACATGAACGTTGCTTCTAGTGCAGGGGTCTCAAACATGTTGCCCGGGGGCCATTTGCGGCCCCCCAGATGATAGTTTGTGGCCCTCGCCTTGCCTGCCCCCCCAAAGCGCCCACACATTCTCTGCTGTCAAGAGTAAAAAAAAAGCCTTGCCTCGCTCGCCGGCTCTCTCCCAAGACAGCACCTCTTGCACCCTCCATCCAGAACTGCAGCCTGCCAGCCAGCCCACTCGTCTGTCGGCTAAGGAAACTCCTAGGCAGCTTCCTCGGGCTCTTGCTCCACTTGGCGGAAAATCTGATGCGGCCCAGACTCTGCCTCTAGCGGCCCCCAGGTAAATTGAGTTTAAAACCCCTGTTCTAGTGCATAGACACATGAACCTTGTTTATAGCTTCTTAGCACATCCAGCAGTGCCCTGGAACATCAGCCTTGTAAGTTCCCAAAGGAAGGATGCAAAATGATTCATTTCCACCACTACTGCAGTAGATTCAGGACAGAGCAGTGAGGTGACCCTTAGAGAGAAACAAACAATGCATGAGCCCTGAAAGAGATTAGCATATTGCTTTTAAAAGCAACAGGCACAAGCTCTGTCAAACAGGGTATTTCCATTGTAGTTGGTTGCACAAGGGACTACTTTCTGGAGGGTAAGATGGTGTTACCCAGTGGACTTCCTTCCAGTTATTAAAATTGTCTGAGCTTTAGGTAGACATAGAGATGAAGACGTCAAAGTGGGCTATAGAGAAATGGCAGCACCAGTTCTCCCTTAATTTAGATACCTTTGAGGAGCCGTCTCCTCCCATTCCAAACTCTTGGATTCATCCACAGTGGAATGAGGGTTCATTTCCAGGCCTCTGAGTAACCACTGCCATTAACTCTTCTTAAGGGGCAAAGAATAGTACTCTGTTCAGATACTGTAGTGCATGGGGTTTAAATAGACTCCTGTTCCTGGTACCAGATTGCCTTGTTTCAGTTTACAGATCTCCTGTGATACTTGCACACATAACATTCACACACTCCTTTATAGAAAATGCACCAAACCACTGGGATTCTCAGCAACAGATATGAATCTTCATCACTCATTAATTTCTTTAATATAATGGTAATAGAATAACATTGTAGTCCTGCTAAAAAACAACATTTTGAGGAACAGTTACTGCAACACACTGAGTTGGACTGTGCTAAATTATTCCACCCACGCCACGTCCTTTTCCACCACCTCTGCATAAAAGGCAAACATGTGCAGGGAGGAGGCTTTGACACATACCACTGTCTGAACAGATTCTGCTATGCCACAGATAACCCTGACAGCACCAGGGTTCCAGTCATTGGTAAGCCTCTGCATGTACAGAGCTACTCAGGGCAGTAGGGGCAGAGAGCTATTTGACACAGCCCTACTCATTTGTTGCTGCAGTCCCTTTCAGTCACGACTGAACAGAACTTGTGACTTCATAACATTCCAGATTCTAAAAGCAGTGTTTTCTCCTATTGCCAACACTCATTTCCATGACACAGTCAATATGAACACCCTTTTCAACATGCACAGTTACGTGCTCTCCAAAAATATTCCATTTTGTATGTCTATTGAACGGATTGTTAACACAATTTGGTTGTGTATCTAGCCAGCCACAGATACCAAGAAGATAATTACAGAAGAATAATATTTTCTATTTCTTCATCCTTATTCAAGGGTGGAAACTAAAGGTGCAACTACACAGTGAGGCAAATGTGAACTCACATTCTCTTGCTGTGAAGTTGTACCAGGGCATCCAGATCGCTTTGATATAAGTGGCCACACAGGCAAAGGACCAAAAAATCCTTCTAACTGCAGTTCCACTTGAAGCGCCTGTAGGTTATGTGGTTCAAGAGAACTGCCTTAAGAAGGCTTTCTATCCTCAGAGACAATTTCCTCATCTTGCCTTGCTGACTGAGTAACTAGCTAAACTAGTTAAAAGTATGTGTGCGTGCATGCATGTGCTTGGTTGTTACTGTCTTTCTGCATCAGAGAAAGCAAAAATCTCTGACTTTTTAAAAGTAGAAGGAACTCTGGCGGGGAGGAAAAACTATGGATTGAGGGTGCAGGTCTCTCGGATGATTTTGATTTTGTCCTGTGCCAAGGTGATTAGTGCTAAACTAGTATATCAGCGCAATGACTCAATGTTAAATTTGTTTATTCAAAAAAATTTTAAAAATCTGGGGCACTCAGAGGGATGATCTTGGGGATAGATGTTCCTGTATTCCCTAAGCATAACACCCCAACCACCTGTCACCACATCACCACCCACAGACACCCCCTCATTTTGCAGAACAAAACAGCTGATCACACAGGCCATTCGAATGGCTCTTTCTTGAAAAAAAGGAGAACACACACACCCGGAGATGGGAAAAATGTGTTAATGAGCAAAAAGGGCCTGACTGATTTGAATTGACTTTTGTGCTCTTTGATTAGTAAAAATAGTTCAATTCATCTGTATAATATCGTATTTGATGATGCAGTTGCAGTCTAAGCTGCCTTCAGATTTCTGCATCATTTTTTTCCAAGTCAGAACCTAATCTAGTTCTTTCACAACTTCTGCCAGAGTCAGCAACCTCCAAGCACCCTGAAACCATGCTCCAGGAAACCTGTGGAACTGGGTTTTTGTTTTTTGCACCACAGACAGCCTACTGCAGGAGGAGAAAGGAAAGAAAGTTATCGTTCCAGCAATGTCAGATAATAAAGTATGCAATTGGCTTTTGGCCTCTTTTATTTAATAACATCTCAATCCCAATTTCTATTAATTTTTTGTTGTGGCATTTTCTTTATATTTTAAAAGATAAACTGATATACATTTTATACTTTAAAGAATAAACTGGTTCATATTTACTAAAAAGTCAAACGGTATGCAAATGAGAAAATAAAATCATAGCCCTTTAGAACTTTATTTCTCTTGCAATGGTTAATATTCACCAGAAAGTGATTAATATTAATTAATTCCCTTTGCATATTTTAAAAATAAAATTATAAGAGAACAGAATGGTTGGGACCGTTTTATCAAAAGATACATCATGATTTCTATGAATGAAATCCTGGTTTAGGGATTTCCTAAACCATAGGCTTTTCAGTGTTACATGATATAGAATGTCAAAAATGAGCTAGATAATACCTATTTAACAATTTCACTCTTTGTTTAATATAAACTAAATTATAACCATAAGATAATCTGGCTATACTTATATCATAAGCACCTTCTTGCACTAATTCTTTACATCTCTGACAAAATTTCCAAATGACTGTACCATAAGTGCATTCTTTGCAAAACGGTTTGTACATTATAACAAGGAAGTGTTTTACACAAAGAAGTGTTTTACTGGAGGGTTACAGCTTTAACTGGCACTCCATGAGCTGATGGCCGTCATTTTGTATCTATGTGCAAAGTTCATGTATATGAAAAATTAAGCTGGAACATTTAGATGTGGAAAGACTGCCTTTTATGTGTTAACCCCCCCCCCAGAGGGCTCCCTTTTGATGACAATGTTTATCAGATAAGACTATAATTTGGCATTAGCAATGTTTGTGGTACTGTGCCATTTGAATGTGACAGACTAAGAAAACCCTCCAAATACTGAGATGCTTATTGCAGTTCCTTCTTAACAATCCAGACATTAAATGACTTGCTTCTGTTTCCTTACTTCATCAGCACCCTAATGCTTTCATTTACACGATGCTCCCCACATTATATTAAACATGAAAATACCACCTAGAAACATTATTTCAGTAGATAGAGGGTTTAAGGCAAGGTTTTTTTTCCCAAGAGATTTCTTTTCAGTTTCTCTCGACCAACACAATTGCTCACCACCCCATAAGTGCCTTGGGATACACAACGTACATTCAGCAAAGGGGCAGACCAATGACCCAATGGACATACGCTGTAAGTCCTGAGCGCCCATTGAAATAATGGTAATATATTTTCATATAAGGCATGATCCACAGGAGCATGGCACAGCAGAGGTTAACTTGCTTTTCCATTCTTACTAGTGTAGTCAATATTCTCTAGAGATATAGCATTCTTTTCTTACTAACCTTCTTTTCAGACAAATACAAACCCCCTTTAAAAGGTGCTATAAATGGGTTTTGAAAATATAAAATATATCCACCGTAGCATCTTAGATCATTGTTTTGTTGCTGTATTTCTGCAAGTGATTTCTCTTTTTTGATTAAAACTATTTGCCACTGAGTAGCTGTTATGTCCCAGAACAATTTCTTTTTCTTCTTGTTTTTTTGACCAAGAGGGCTGGATATCTTCTTGGTCTTTACTTCGTTTTCGAGGTTTTTCCGATGGGAATATCATCAGCACTAAAATACAGGCCACATGCAGGCAAAAATACCAGGAGCTAAGGAACAAAAATAGAGATATTCAGTCAAATTGGTTCCTGGTCATTCTGTGATTGTGCTTTAACTTCCTCTTATCTGTCAGGAATATGCACCACTGTGTATGCACTGCTGCATATGGTGTTCATGTATGCTTCCTCTGTTCCTGTACATTAGATCAAAAGGTATTTTATGAACTTTATCCAGATGGCTCCTAGAATAATCCCTTTTGTCCTGACAAGAATGAAGGACAGAAGTCTGCCCTCCATACTACTTCTTGACGATACTCTTGCTTAGCCATCTACAGGGAGGAGCTGAGTTAAGGTGACGATGAATGAGAAACACTAGCATCACAAGTGGCACAGGAGTTCTCATGATAAGGAGAGCTTCCAAAGATAAACGGATCAACCTTCTGTGTAAACTCATTCTGTAAACATTGGAAAGTCCTCTGCACTCAAAACACCCTTATTAAAAAATCTTTGACATAACAAACCACAGGGGGAGAGGGTGTCCTAAACATTGTACAGATCATTAATTTTAACTCTTATGATGTAGACAAACCTTTCAGTTTCTTCATACATGATGCATCCTACTAAAATCTCCCCCCCCCCAATCAATTCTGCACTTTATTTCTGCAGCCTTCTGTGAGTCTCTGGGTGACTAACATTGTCTAGCCCCAGCTGTGTCTCTAGGCCAGAGGTGGGCAACCTTCAGAGGTCTGAGGACCACACACTCCTACCCTTGGACTTTGGAAAGCAGCAACTGACCTTGTATCTCAACTATTCCCAAAATATTTTTCATTGACCTCTGGTGGTCACTGTTTTTAAAAATGTCCAAAACTTTAGGGTAGATTTATCATGGACTCTAAATTTTAGAGTCTAAAACATGGCAACATTGTTTCCTATGCCCCCTAGTGGCCATAAGGAGTCTTTCTGAGCCCTCAAAATTAACGGAGGGCCCTTGGATGCTAGTGGGCACATTTGGCCCCCTTGTGGGCGGCATGCACTTTGGCCAGCAGACTACACAAAGAATTTGATACACAGGCTGTGGTTATGACCATATAGGACTTGACAAGGATACAGTACATTAAAAATATTAATAATAGATTAAACATTTCAAGTGCCGCCTGCAAGTTTTCTATTTCACCTTCATAATCCCTTTATTAGCTGGAAACGTTTATTTTTTTGTGTTGTTTGTTCCTTTTTCTTTTTTTAATTGAACCTGAGAGTTCGTGATAGTTGCCAGGTCCTCCTCTAGGTACAAAATATCACATGGAATCCTACGGAAGTAAAGATTAGGTGACCGTTCAGCTATCTACCCACACAAACAATTCGCTGGCCGCTTACATCTTGTTTCTGAAAACATGTGAAGTTATCAGCTTACCTGTAAAATGTGTAAGACGGTTTCACAGAGAGAAGTACAAATGGTACCACTGTATAACTTATTGCTACTTGAGTCATCATCCAAGTCATAATATCGTAACATAATTTAATGGCTGGAGAGTTAATAAAGTAGTGTCTAATGTTCTTTCTAATCTAAACAAAAACACATACATGAAATAGTAAGTAAAAGAGCTTTGAGTATCTTTGCAGAATAAGTAGTATTCTTAACAGATTTTCCAAGAAACTACACTGAGAAGCAGCCAAACAGAAAATCTTCAGTGCTGACCTTGACATGGTGTTAATCCAATAAACAGTATTTTTCTAACTAGGAACTCTGTTGAAGTCATTAAGGTGTTAGGATTTGTCCTTTTGGTCTTTTGATTCTTCTCTTTGCCATTTTAGAATTCCATTGAGTGGGTTTAAGATGAGACACCAACCTCACTACTTTTGCAGTAAAGCCCTGTAAACAAGAGATCAATTTCTAGACCTAGGCTTGCAGCCTCAGTTAAGTACGCTTGAAGAACTCTGTTTTTTAAAAAATTTAATGTCAACTGGCCTCATCTATGCCTTCAAAACTAAACAGATGAGAACATACTTATTCTTTGGATTCCTCACTTCTCTGAATTCTGTGGTTTAAAAAATCCCATACGGAAAATTATCTGGAAGTTGAGTCATAGCAACTGGATTTGTTTCTTGTTAGGTTGAAACATTTCACTACTCATCCAAGCAGCTTTTTCAGTCTGAGGAGAGTTGGTAGGACATCCCTGATATATATATGTGGAGGATATATCAGGGGTCTCCTATCAACTCTCTTCAGACTGAAGAAGCTGCTTGGATGAACAGTGAAACACTTCAACCTAACAAGCCATGATGCAACTTCCAGATAACCACACCTGGGTAACTGAGAATCTTTACAGATACATATTGAAAGTTGTTTTAACATTTACATTTTGAGAGAATTCAAAGGCTAATTGCTTATCATATTAAATTGCACTAGAGTAGGCCCACTGAATCAGTTGGGATTTTGTATGTTCCACTGATTCAATGGGCCTATTCTGTGACTTACTATAGTCTATACAGGGTACTATAAAACCCTACTTAATGGTATTTTCTGCCACTAGAGTATTTCTAAGAACAAAAAGTCATTCTTGAAAGAAGATGGTGTTTTATCACTAAGAAATTATCACTGTTGAATATTGGTGGAATCCATAATTTCATTAAGAGTGAATCATATACAAGCGCCAGTGTGGGGTAGTGGATAAGAGGCTAGGACTCTGAAGACCTGGGTTCAGATCATCATTTAGTCATGGGAACTTGCTGAGTGGCAATGAACATGTCACATACCTCAAAAGCTCTACTGGGATCACCATAAGTCATAAACAACTTGATGGCATACAATAATAAATCCTATACAAGGTGCTTTATGGTTGAGAAGATAAGTTGCCTCAAATTACATAAATATTTTGTCAAATTTTGACAATCAAAATTTCTGTTCAAAACCACTGATCTGTGAAGGACTAATCCTATCATTAGGGAAACTGGGGTAGCTATTTAGCTTCTTCTCCAGATGTCACTGAAAAGGCTAGGACCATCACTGATCAGTTCTTCACTGATGTGTGTGTATCTCCTCTACATTGATGTAAACTAAGCCATATATCCCCATTTACTCACTGCTAGTGTAGGGAAGCTGCACATATGTCTTCCACCTACATGACTCACTTAGAAATGGGTGCTTTGGAGCCACAGATCCACTATACAATTTTTTTAAAAGGCAGCTTTTGTAAAACAAAGTCTCCTTTCTTCTCTTAAAAGGCACCAGTTTAAAGGGTTTTTATGGTAAACATTAGCAATGGCTGCAAATTCACACTATCGTTTCTTAAGAGCACAGAGGCAGCAATACTTACAGTTCGTGCTGCAAGTGTCATGAGGACACCCGTTAGGAATGTTAAATAATATCCAGGATATACCCCATGCCAAATAGCTGACAAAATGAAGGTTTGTATTGTCGGGCTGAAGGAGGCTCGTTCATAGCATACTCTGAAAAGTAAAGAGAAAATGAACCAAATTTCAGGGAAAGGAGAAAATGATGTTCAAGTGTCAGAAAGACCAAATGGTTTCATCCATAAACATTTCAAAAACCACAGAGGAGGCGTCTGGTCCACTGAATACTATCACGTGGTGAACACATGCACCCTTTGAGAAGCTAACTGCTCAATCTGAGCTGGTAGTTAATTCTGTCTATAGAAAAGGGCTAATAATTTTTTAAACAGCTGTTGACAATACGACCCCAAGTTCCAGATTGAACTGGAAAGCATTTTTTCCCTCTGATATGGACAAAACATTTAAATAAGGTCCCCAAATGCTTTACTAATCTCCTTCCACACCTCAAGGAATCCTTTCCCACGCAACCCATGTTCTACCATCACTACACAGTAGCTTCATATTACCTCCACACATTTTAGTTTAAGGAGGTCTGCAGAATAGGTTTCCTCTTTTCTGTCTTTCGTAACCACCAGCAACATCAAAAAGGTCATTTAGACTAATGGGCCAGAGGGACCAACATTAATAATAGGGGTTATTAGGGTGGGGCACTCATTAGAGAAAAGGAATCCAGTAGGCTCCCGTATCCGAGGGATCAGTATCCGTGGCTTCACTTATCCACATTTTGAAAATATTTTAAATATTAAAAGAAAAAAACACCTAGAAATACATATTTCCACCATGTAATTCCCAGCACTGGTCACTAGAGGAAGCCAGAGACCATTCTATGTATAGGAATCAGTACTGACCACAGTTTTTGGCATCCACCGGGGGGGGGGTGGAACCAATCCTCCGTGGATATGGGAATCCTACTGCACTGAGTAGAGATGGGCACAAACTGCTGGTTTGTTGATTAATTCCAGTTCAGCTGACTGCTAAACAGTTGTTCTGCAGTTTAGCACTACACTCCCTCCAGCAGGTGCCCACTCAAGAGGCAGTAACTGGAGGAGGCAGGGCGGGGGAGTCAGAGGGCTGTTTCCAAGTGGGTGCCTGCTGGAGGGGGCAAGGCATTGAACCTGTTCAGCTGTCTCTAGTACTGACCATAAAATAGCCAGAAAATCCAATTTGGGGGAATTTACCTTTCTACATTATTCAGAAGAACCCCTTGATCTGCCAGATATCCTTCAGAGGAACAGTGGGTGAAAAGATGATAAACTTTCCTTCTATAAACTCTTACTTAATTTATCTTAGGATCCAGCTCTGTAAAATTCTTAGGCTACCAACCTTCTCCCATATGGATCACCAATCAATTCAATCTGTCTGGCGATTCTGGCATCTTCAGAGTCCCATAACATTTCTCCACCATCCCAAAAATTAAGTGCCTTTATTGAAGTAGAGCTCAGTGGAGCTAGGCTCCAAAATGACTGCCAGGTTTGCACCCTACTGGTCGTACTGATCTTACCTGGACCAGACCACAGGGGCATGATTCAGAACAGAACAGAGTGAGAACCACCCTGCCCTGCCAAGGAACAAAACAAAACTATTCTCCCACAGACCCCACAGGATAGGAAAAAGGGATTATCATTACCTTTTGAGCCAAAGAGCTGTCTGGATATTCCAGTTATCAAGAAACATCTTGAAACTTGTTGAAAACTGTAAAATTAATACACCAGTTTTTTTTCATTTCGGTAAAGTTTTGTGGCATAAAAGAAATTGTGTTAACACTATGACATTTTATGTAATATGCAAGCAACAAAATGATTATCTTAGGGACTGGAAAGTGAAAGCGGGCAACCTGTTTTGACATACACCTGTTTATGCTTTTTTAAAAAAAAAAAGGCTGCAGCTTTTTTTTCGCACCGCCTATCACACTGGCTGGCAAAAAGAGTGGCCCAAAACACAACCAGCTCCTCATGCTGGCAAGCAGCCTTTTGGAAATGGGGCCTACCTATAGTTGTGCCCCATGGGGCCTGAGAGCTCAAGACTCCTGGGCAGAGGGAGGACTGCTAAGTGCCTCCTTTTCCTGATCCATTGGCATCATTAACCGTACACGAGTTGCAGTAATGTGTTAGACGGAGGGTTTCCTTCCTTCTCAGTTTGTTGAGAGTAACACAGGCAGTACCCTGCCTGCCCTTTCAGGCAAGCTTAAAGGATCTGCAGTAGAGCAAAGGAAACACTCGACTCCTTCTAATGCCATTAGATGTGACTGATACTGGATACGGTGGAAATCATGGCGACCTGAGGTGAGAAGCTGCTGAGCAATGTGGCAGCTGCATTTGGCCAAGAACTTTATTTCAAGCCTCTGGCTTAGGGAAGAGGCTGAATTAAGTAGCTGCCAAAGCTGCCGTTTTCCCTCTTTCCCTTCCCTTCTGTTTTTAAAAGTAACATATTAAGGTCCGATACAAGAATTCTAAATTATTAATCCATTGCGGTTGATGGGACTTTCACCGAGAATGGAAGAGTCAGCTTCACTTTAGGTTCAGGGGGCTTCATGGATCAGGCCCATCCACTACAGAAGATAAGGGGAAGAGGCTCCCTGTACATTTGGTGGTCTTTCTTGGCAGAGGAGACCATGAGAAGGAAACAGTGCCGTTTCTTCTGCTCCCAAGGAGACAACCCAAGTCCCCTGGCTCCAGAGGAGGAGAAGGGAAAGAATAAGCACAGCACGCAAGGAGGCAGCTGGCTAGTTGTCACCAGCCAGGAAGAATAGCCAGATGGCGTTTTGTATTCAGTTTAGTAACTGGAATGCCAGTCTTCACCCCTGAATGCCAGCAGCAGCAAAAGGGATACTAAAGCCCCTTCCCTGTATTATAATAACATATTAATAATAATCTTAGAACTGCAGGGTAGGAAGGGACCTTACAGATCACCAGGTCCAGCTCCTGTCAAGAAGGCACAGTGGGGAATCGAACTCCCAAGTTCTGGCTCCGCAGCCAGGTCCCTAAACCACGAAGCTGTCATTAAAACGTCTACTATAGCAATGGAACCCTCGCAATGTTTTTAGAGCTCAGCCTTTTATTTTCTGTAAATATTTGCAAGAGATGTATATACCAACCTCTATATGAAGAATTCTTAGATTGGAAATCGAATCCCAGTGTGCAACTCCCTTTTTATCATAACCTCTAAATCCAAACCCTGCCGCATTATTAATTGCGTCTGCTGCAAAGAAACAAAGGAAAGCGCTTTTAAAAAGCTACAGGTGCCTTAGTAATTACTAATCACTTCCCTATGAAGAGTTCTAGTGCTTAGGTTTTTGCTGCCTTCTAACTCGTTAGTTAGCCCAAGCATTTTCCCAATACTCAAATCTTTCCAGTTATTTGGGGAATTTTTATTGAAATTTGGGGGGGGGGGTTTAAACACAATTTTGTCATTTTATTAACCGGATTCATTATACTTATCATTAGCTGTTTTGGTATATTGATTTAAATGAAAAGCAATACAGAAATGTTGTTTAATAAAAATATAAATATTTAAGGGGGAAACTGACACCTCTAAGACCTTAAAAAATTAAATTAAAATTAAAAATAATAATATATGACTGGAAAACTAGTTCCATAACATAAATGTCTAAGCCAGTGGTCTCAAGTTACAATATAGTAAGTACTTTTCAAGTGGCAGGGGTGTGTGATTAAATGAAAATAAGAAAAAAGGAACCTTCTCTCTCTCTCTCTCTGAATCTAGAGTTGCTTTATGGTTCTGTTTTCACCCATACTTAAATAAGAAAAATATGGACTTGGTGCAATATGGATCGTGGCTATAAATGAATGCTACAAAGAAATTTCTGAATGATAATTACAAATGGTACAGTATTTCATCTTAAGAGCAAACAAAATAGATAACTAGAATGTTATCATATGTAATCATAGCTTTCAGTTGATCACGTGGACCTTACTCTTTTTTAAAAAAAGATTATGATAGCATTTCATGGAAATTTAAGATTCAATGAATTCTGCAGTTTTGTTTATTTAAATCAGTCCTCACAAAGGCAGCAAAGCACCCTTTCTGCAACTGCAGAGAGACAAATGAGCTCCCACAAGGAGTTCAGCTGACACCACTTACTAAATCTTCTATGATACTTCTGGGCAATATACAGTACAGGATTGGTCTGTTGGCCGAATGAGAGAATCCAGCAGAAATAAGAGGCCACCTTGGCACCCACTGCAACACCCCATGCTTCCCCCCCTCCCCACAACCAACTCTTGAGGGCTGAGAAACCCTTTGGAACTGCTTTTGGGGTAGCACAAAGAGCCGCAGAGGAGAAGGAAGACAATGCCACTGCACTGGCACAAACACCATGCTGGATTTAAGCCTCATGTATTTATTGGCCTGCATGTTGGAAAACACAACACCATCACAAGCAAATCACTGCTTCCCCACCCCCATCAGCGGAAAGAACTCTTTCCTTTCAAAATCACAGATATACGTATGGCATTCATCTTACTGTGTTTAATCCAAAGAAACAAATTGCCCACAGCTAATGAATCCCTCCCTTTAGGTTTTTTTTTTAAAATCCTCACAAATGCTTCAAATGTAATTCCTCTTCAATCCACAGGAGGGCACTGTCTCAAACACATTCTCTAAAACTGTATCTTATATATACTGTAATATGATTTGTAGAAGAACAAAGACTTACTTACCCAAAGTCCATGCAAAATAGTATTTGGGTCTGGCAGCCATAAGAGACAAGTACAAATAGATAACCCTCACAGGCAGCGACGCTGTTGCTCTAAAATGATCATCAATGTTGTATTCTACCGGCAGAGTTTTGCTAACAGTCATATGAAATAACAAGGAGAGTCCACACACTACGAGTTTCTGAGCCACAGCTATCTGAAACATTGAAGATGGAAGGATCTGTGAGCATCTTTTACAAATAAAACTTGCAACAGGATGGTTTACAGCTTTTGCGTTCAACATAAGCAGGTTCATTTAGCTTTGGGGAAAAACACACAGAGGCCTTTGGAGCCTAAATATGTCCTGATTACCTTCACAGCAGCAACACAAACCTATTAAAATTCCTGGGGAAACAGGGGAAAATATGTTCTCATAACTAGCATACCACGAGACTTCAAATTAAAAAAGCAATGGGTCTTAGAATAACTCAAGCATCCACTTTTCAAGCTTTGAGGTAACATGAAAAGATGGTTTTTCATCGTTGAGGAGCTACCCAGGAACACATCAAGTGGGCATCCATTTTTGCCACAAGCAGCAACTGCATCAAACAAGGACCACCAGAGCGTCACTGGCTGGAACCACAGGTTCTCCATTCATAAATATATTGGGATGCTGGGTCATAATTGAACTTATTCATGCATACATGTCCAACACGCATTAAGAACAGATCTCTTCCTTAGTTAGAAGTACGATCTTTCCTTTTCACCTTCTCGCCGCTACGCTAAAATTAGGTGAGGCTGAAGCTTCCTGACATAGTTTATGGTGCCTGCGGGTGACAACAGCCTGGGACGAATGCAACACTAAACGGTGAAGAGGTCAGGTGCTTCCGTTTCCATTTTCAACTCAGCACAGTTACTGGTGTTTCTGAGTTCATTGTGATTTCAGATAATATCAGGGAACACACAACCATGTTATATGCAACCCATTCCTTCGCCGTCTCACTCACCTATCACATTTTAAAATCTGACAGCTAAGATTGTGAATTGAACCTGTGACCACACAAAATACATGAAATCTATACTATACATCCCACCGAAATAAAGCATTTTGGTATCTTTCTCTTTGGAACTCTCTCTGGCTGTTATTAGGCCTCAAAGAGTGCAGACAGAGTATCAAATAAAGGAACAAAACATGAGCTTGTGGGGTATCAGCTTGCTGACTCATGAATGACATGCAAGCACTCAGCTTTAATAGAATTCTTACCACAAACAAATCTTATAGCAATTGTTCCATTCAGACTTTATTACAACTGAATATACCTGTGGACTTCTACTTCTAGTCCAATATATGGATTTATGCAGGCCTTTTTTTAAATTCACCCTTTCTTCCTTCTCAACCCACCAGGTAAGAAATCTATTTCAAAGTGATTCTGGCAAAATTGCTACTCTTAACGTGTCCTTCCTTTCCTTACGCTGTCATGGACCTTTCCCTCTTGCTCCCCACCCCTGCTTCAGTCTCGATAAACTTCTTTCCTCACAAACAAAACAATTAGGCTAGGCTTGCTTCTGCTGTGGTTCAGTGCAGCTGCCAGAACCAGAAGGCTTCACGGTGAGAAAGGGCAGTAAAGGAGGGCCTATATCAGTGGTGGCGAACCTTTTTGGGCTTGCGTGCCCAAACT